TAATTTGGACTGAAAATCATGGTACTGCATTTCTTTGGATTAAGTTTGAGGTTGTGAGCACTGAAATAAGTTTGCAAAGACGAAAGATCACTATTGATACATTCAGCAGCATGAGCAGCAAATTTAGGGTCGAACGAGAAATACAGTTGAGTATCATCAGCAAATGATTGAATGTTCACATATTTTATTAATTTTTGAATCTATGACACATATATTAAATGAAGTAATGGGCCCAAAACCGATCCTTGCGGCACACCTGATGTAACTGATGAGAATTCAGATGAAACCTCACCTATCACAACTTTCTGCATACGGCTATTCAAATAGTCGTGAAAAAACTTGCAAGAACTAGCATCAAAACCATAATATTCAAGTTTGGCGCATAAAAGTACATAATCAATTGTGTCGAATGCTTTCGAGTTATCCAATAAAACTACAGACGTAGCAAGCCCTATATCCAATGATCTAATTATGTAATCAGTAATATTTAGCAGTAATGTCGTTGTACTGAATCCTCTACGAAAGCCGGATTGAAAATTTGGAACATGTTATTTTCCATCACAAATTCATATATCTGTTTTGCTACTACTTTTTCAAGAATTTTAGATATTGCTGGAAGAATACTTACAGGGCGCAGATCGCCAAAAGAGGCGGGATTAGCTATCTTGGGAAGTGGCTTAATAATAGAACGTCTCCATGATGCGGAGAAATATCCAGTTTCCAGACAACAATTGATTACATGAGTTAAGTAAGGTGCTATAACTGGCAAACAAAATTGAAGCATTCTCGCGGAAATATTATCGCAACCTAACGCATTTGATTTCAAATCTATAACAATTTGTTTTACTTTATCTATTGTTGCTAATTTGGAAGAAAATTGAATATCCGGGTTGAATTTATTCGATTTATAATAGTTAGTCATTTCAGGACAATTATTTTCCGGAGTAAAAACAGATGTGAAGTAGCTATTGATCCGATCAGAGTTTCGCAATTCTACTGGTATTTCACTCACCGTTTTTCCTCTAATGTTCATTGAATCAAGTGTTTTCCAAAGTTTTTTGCTATTATTTTTTATTGATAGAAATGTTAGATAAGCTAATTTTTCTTTACGTATAGCACTAGTTACCGTGTTACGTAAATCTTTATAGTAAATATATTCTGTTGCACATCTGACTTTCATCATACTACGAATATTAAAAGTCAACCATGGAGCAAATGGTTTGGTGATTTTGGAAGAAACGTATGGAGCATGAACATCAAATAAATTAATAACATTGTTCGTAAAGTAATCAATCTTTTGATCAATGTCATTCAGATACAAAACATTATCCCACGAAATCATCGAAAGGTCGGTATTGAACTCATGGTTAGAAAAATTATTGTAGTTCCTGTACGTAATTAGTTTGGGTATATGGCGAGCATATGATAAATCCATAACACAAAATACACCAGAGTGGTCAGCTTGCAGAACAAGAAACTTCGACTTCGAATGTAACTATGCAGTCTAGCATCTGACATGCATACAGTTGAAGCAGATATGATCGTAGTAACATAAGACGACTTTGAAGGGTATATAGCTAGTACAATAGGCAGATGAAGATACATCGACTTCATCGGTGTGCACACTATATCTCTCTATCCTTTCATCTCACATGGATACTATTGAAGCAGACGAGTTCGCGATGCCCATATGAGACGATTTCCAAGCGGTATAACGCACACAACTTGCACAACAAGAGACTCTTACTTCGACTATGTCTACACTGTTTCTCTGCCGTCTAGCATCTGACATGCATATAGTTGAGGCAGATACGATGGCAGTGACCGTATAAGTCGACTGTGAAGGGTAGATAACGAGTTCAATGGGCAAATGAAGTTACATCGACTTCATCATTGTGCACACTATATCTCCCTATCCTATCATCTCACTTGGTCACTATTGAAGCAGACAAGTTCACAATGACCATACAAGATGATTTCCAAGAGAATATAAAGCACACAACTTGCAGAACAAGAAACTTCGACTACGACTATGTTTACACAGAAACTCTGCAGTCTAGCATCTGACATGCATACAGTTAATGCAGGAACGATTGCAGTGACCGTATGAGACGACTTTGGAAGGATTATAACGGGTACAATAGGCAAATGAAGATACATCGACTTCATCGTTGTGCACACTATATCTCTCTATCTTATCGTTTTACATGGACACTATTGAAGCAGACAAGTTGGCGATGACCATATAAGACGACTCTCAAGCAGAATTAACGCACTAAGCTTGCAGAACAAAAAACCTCGCCTTCGACTATGTTTACACTGTAACTCTGCAGTATAACATCTGACATGCATGCAGTTGAAGCAGATACGACTGCAGTGCCATATAAGACGACTTTGAAGGGTATATAGCGAGTACAACAGGCAAATGGAAATATATCGACTTCATCGTTGTGCACACTATATCTTTCAATTCTTTCATTTTACATTGACACTATTGAACAGATAAGTTTTCATTGACCATATGAGACGACTCCTATGCGGGTATAACGCACACAGCTTGCAGAATGAAAACTTCCGACTTTGGCTATGTTCACACTAACTCTGCAGTCTAGCATCTGACATGCATACAGTTGAGCAGATACGATGGCAGTGACCGTATGAGACAACTTTGAAGGTTATATAACGAGTACAATTGGCAAATGGGGATACATAGACTTCATCGTCGTATACATTATATCTCTCTATCCTGTCTTCTCACATGGACACTATCGAAGCAGACGAGTTCGCATTGACCATATTAGACGACTCTCAAGCAGGTATAACGCACACAGTTTGCAGAACAGGAAAGTTCGACTTTGACTATGTTAACACTGTAACTCTGCACTCTAGAATCTGACATGCATACGTATCCTATCATCTCACAAGGATACTGTTACGACCCTGGCAATCGATCCCAGCTACCTGCGGAAAGTATAAACAAGCCATATTTCTTGGAATAGAAATCGACGGCTATTGAGATGACTCGAGAAGATTATCGACCTGTTCACGATATTTCGAGTGGAATCTAGACGTTTTATTAGGTAGTATAAATAGTTTTTGTTAGGGACAGGAAGGAAGTCTTTATTTGGAAGCGTTATAATAACGATCGAAGAAGTGTTGTGAATCGGAAGTGTTTAGTACGAGTATTGTTATTATTGTTCAGAATAAATCGTTTTAAGTGTTCTACCGAGTGTTAAATTATTACGGACCCAGAGTAAAATCGTAACAGTGGTGTCAGAAGTGTGGATTTTTCGAGGACATTTGAAGACGTATGGTGAATACAAGGAGTACGTCATACGACGCGATGGAAGACATTTTGAAATTTATGCAAAATCAGTTCGCGGAACAAGAGGAACGACGACAGAAAGAAAAACAAGAGGAAGAGAAACGTCGTCGAGAGGAAAAATTAGAAGAAGAGCAACGTCGTCAAGAAGAGTTACAGAAAATTCTAGAGCATCAAGAAAAAGGACGAGAACATCAGAAAATCTTCTTCGAACCAATTCTGCATAAAACTGATGTGCAAATAGATGAGTTGAAGACAGATTTCACCAAAATTGACGACAAGCTTAACCAGGAAGTTTCAAGAATAGATTTCATGTTCGATACAATCAAAAGGGATGTAGCGAATCAGATCGCCTCGCTACGAAGTCAAGATCGTCGTGACAGGGTTGCCACATCGGGTTCCTCCGTGAAACCACCAACTTTTGATGGACAGTCGCCTTGGTCTATGTATCGCCGACAATTTGAGGCTGCAGCAAGTGCAAATGGGTGGAGTGACGAGGAAAAAGCTACTGCACTCATTGTAGCTCTGAGAGGACCAGCTTTGGGGATGTTACAGTCGATCCCAGTGGAACAACAAAACCACTTCGGAGATTTAGTGGCTGCACTAGAACTCAGGTATGGTGACCAACATCAAGAACAGCTTCACCGGGCTCAGATGAAAAATCGTGTGCAGAAGTCTGGAGAGAGCTTACAGGAGTTCGAAGCAGATGTGAGAAGACTGACTCAATTAGCCTACCCAGAGGCACCAGAGGACTTCAAAGAACAACTGGCGGTGCAGGTATTCATCGACGGGCTGAGAGACTCAGAAATACAGAAGACTCTGAGGCTTACACACTTTAAGAGGAGTGGTGAAGCCCTAGTGAGATCTCTGGAGGTAGAAGCAGCCTTCAACACCTCTAGGCCAAAAGTGAGAGCTGTGTCCATAGAGGAGCCTTCCGAACACGTGGACCCATTGGCAAAAATGTTAGGAAAAATGTTTGAAGAACTGAAGGACTCGATCAAAGAAATTAAGAGTGGGTCAAGCAACCAGCGAAACAGATCCTGCTATCGCTGTGGCAGAACTGGACACCTAATAAGGGACTGTAAGGTGAGAGTACCACCACGATCTTCTTCACCTGCAAGGACGCCATTACGGTCGTACTCAGTGCTTCGCGCTTCGGCCCGCTAAACAGACGGTCGCATACGTGCCGGAATCAGGCGACCTTGAACATCGGTGTCGTGGTGTCGTGGTAGGTGCTAATATAAACATACATATTCGATTAAACTGAGTTTTACGTGTCCGAGTCGGATCGTCACCTAAAAACGGTTGGCGCGGGACCTGAGTTGAGACTCAAGACCGCTCAGCCAATTATATACTGGCAGACAAAGAGTCTGCATCTAGAGTATATCTTGAATCAGCTGGGTCAGATAACGCTTTCAGCCACATAACACAGGGTGCTTCGGCACCCTGTAACAACCTGGAAGGAGTAGGGAAGACAGTGAGGAAACTAAGATCGGCCTACAACATTGAGGGTTCTAGAAACGGCAATGAACAGGGTGGAGACAAATCCGATCCAGCTGAGCTGGATCGAGTAGGTTCGGCTGGAGAAGGGTCCTCCACCCCCGACATCGTCGTGATAGAAGACCTCACAAAGCACAATAGGAGCAAAACAAACAACGAAATCCCGATCTTTGGCAGAATGGGAGGCATTAAAAACCTGCCCATCAGGAATTTGCAGCAAATACCAGCCCATATGCGAAGAAACCTCTTCACGAATCTTCCCGACAAATGGAAGCTGGAAGCGTTTCGAAAATTCTACGAGAAAACAGGGTACCACCTCAATGACTTTGAAAAATGGAGCGACTTCAAAGTCTGCAAGTCACCCAAAATCACGAACATCAAGCTGGATAACACGCAGCACAAGGTCATTGTGATGGATATCCTCACGGAGATAGAAACCCTCGCCAAACCAGAAAACATTCCTCTGTCATTGTGGAGGATGACAGGGCAAATGTACCCCAAAATTAGTTTCGAGGCTAGAACCCAGCTGATACAAGAAAAAATGAAGCCGAATAATATAGAGGGGTTGCAACCTGACAATTATGACATCGTCAATAGATCATTTTCGAGCATAGAAGACTTCTTATCATCTAGAGCGTCGACTATCCCCAATCGACTAAGCACCACCCCCACCCAGGAGGAGGAGAAGCGTGTAAATGCAAACACAAGGAATGTCAAACTAACCATCCCCCCACGAGATGCAGTAACCACTCACCGATCACCCCCTCCATCCCCTACTCCTCCCTCACGGAACGAGGTGAACGAGGAAACTCAGGAAGATAGAGATGCGAGGATGAGAGGGTCTGCTCATAAAGCCAACTCTCCAACCTCCTCCCCCACTCACCTGGAAATAAGCATGGCTGTAACCAGAACGCTAAGGACCAGGAACCCTAGAAGAACATACACACCTGAAAATCAAGATCGACCCAGATCCCCGAGGCTAATCGGGGATTTTGTGGAGGAGGCGGTGTTAGTTACCCCCTCTGTGAACTTCAAGATCACTACACAGCCCCTTGTTGAGGAAATCCCTGCTATGCCGGCTCACTTCAATCTGGCATATGCAGAGGGACTGAGGAGTCTGCAGAGTGAGGAGAGAAATAACAGCCTTATGGAGGTAGAACTGCATCCGATGGGGCGATTGCTGGAGAAAAGGAGGAGATCGAACGACCCCCTACCAGATACGGAAGAGAACCAGAGTGGAGCTACCACCAAGCAGGCCAAAGACAATGATGGCTTTATCGTCCCAAAGAAAAGCAGCAAATGGTCGGAGATGATCAAGCAGAGGTGCGAAATAAAACCAGTTGAGACGGCTAATAGGTTCAACCCCATCTCCGACCAGGCCCAGCCTGGCCCTTCTGAGACTAGTGGAATCAAAGAGACCCGCCCCACTCCCCCTATTAGCAGTAGCTGTTCCTCCTCCGAGGATGAAGAGGAGCAGGTACTAATTACAAAGAGCAACCCCAAGAAAAATAAGGCAAACAAAAATAACAAAACACAAAAACTAAATAAAAATAACCCAAAAACCAAACAAAATAATACTAATCAACCTAAGAAGAACCAGAAGCCTCCTCCCATTGTCATACAAGGGATAATCACAGACAGGAGGAGGTTTCTAGAAGAAATCAGATCCATAGCAGAAGAAACAGTTTTCTTTAAATACGGACACAATTCCACTTTGCTCTATGCGGAAAATGAAGAGGACTATGTAAAGCTGCGGGATAAGTTCAAGACTGAAAGTGTCCCTTTTCACACCTATACGCAAAGAAAAGATAAGTCTCACGCATTCGTGGTGCGAGGACTGGACTTCGAGCCTGAGGCCTCTGAAGTCACAACAGACTTACTGGAACAACATCAAATAGTGGCCAAGGAAGTCTTCAGGCTTCGGACAAGGTTTAGGCCCCTTTACCTTGTCGTTGTTGACCCGAAATACACTCTACAACTTCTCAACAATAAAGCTAAATACATACTATCAACAAAAATTTCGTGGGAGATGCGACGCAATAATCGCGAGATCTCACAGTGCAGGCGGTGCCAGGTGTGGGGACATGCCACCAGCAACTGTTTCAGACCACCTAGGTGCCTGAAATGCGCTGGTGGCCACCTCACGTCGGCCTGCAGTTTGCACAACTGAACGATCACCCTGCGAACAGCACGGATTGTGAGATCTATAAAAAGAAAATAGCTATACTTCATCAAAGTCGGGTCAATAGGCCTGGTAGAGGTGGTTACACCCCCGCCCCTCCCCCCACCAGGAATGCGTGGGAACAACGTAGAGAGGCCCGGCAGCCCACCGTAGCAGCAGAGATGGATAGAAGTGACCCACCTTCTCAAACCAGCTCCCAGAGGCCGGCAACGAGTGCGCAGGGGACTGGGACTAACACCGAGATGATGGGGGTGATGGCTGAGCTGCGGACTCTTAGTCAACAAGTCAATTTGGGTGAGTTGTTTAGGGCGCTGCGAGATTTGAATACGAGGATTGCTGCATCCAACAAAAACCCCATGGACATCTTGATGATATTCCAGGAGTTCGCTGAAAATATAGCAAGTTACCGAATTAACAATTAGCGTGGCTCTCAAGATGTGCAATTTTAACGCAAATGGCATCAGTAACAAGATGCCATCTTTTGTTGATTTTGTACAGAGAAACCATCTTGATATCATCTTCTTATCGGAAACCAAACTCCGACAGGAGCATAATTTTCGTGTGAAGGGTTTTGCTATCACTAGGGTTGACCGGCCTGGCGCAGACAGATATGGAGGGGTGGCTATCCTGGTCAGGAATAACATCCCCCACTCTGTGGTTCCGCCGAGACTCTGTTCTATAGAGCACGTCGGAGTGAGACTACATAGTGGGGAGGTACTTTTTTCGGTATACAACAGCCCCAGGAAGAACTTCACTGAGCACGACCTCGAGGCTCTGTGTAGTGCTGGGAATAAAGTCATCATTGCAGGCGACCTGAATGCGAGACATGCAGATTGGGGAAATCACGCCGACAATACAAATGGACGTACCTTGAGGAGGTTCGGCATGGCTGCCAATGTCAACATCGAGGCTCCTAGCTCTCCCACTCATCTTTCCTTCAACGGAACGTCACCGACGATCATTGACCTGGTAGTGACAAAAAACGTTGTGGATGTCGCCAGAATCAAAATAGTGGATGAGATGAGCTCTGATCATCTTCCAGTGCTATTTGAATCGGGAGTAAAAGCCCCCGAAATCAAAAAATCAATTTTTGACTACCGAAACACAGACTGGAGGATGTTTAGAGCTCATTTGAATGAGAAAACAATAATTAGGGCAAACATCCCTCTGGATGAGATTGATGAAGAAGTAAAAACCCTCATCAAGATCATCCAGGAGGCCAGAGCGGTATCCACTCGTAAGGTCACTATCAGCTCCACCAGGGACCACCTTCCTGGAGATATTCTTGACCTCATTGCACTGAAGAAGCGTGCCAGGCGAACCTGGCAGCGCCTGAGGACGGCCGAGTCTCGAAATGAGTTTAAGAGACTCGGCAATCTTGTAGACGTGAGGATCCGTGAGGTCAGGAATGCAGCCTGGAGGGCCAAGGTAGAGAACTTGAGTCCTCGGGACAATTCTCTGTGGAAAATGACGAAGGGACTTCGCAAGAAAGCCCAAATCGTCCCTACCCTAGAGAATCGTTCCGGAGACGCGGTGACAGATCCGCAGAAAGTAGAAATGCTTGGGAGGCATTTCCAAAGCATAAATCAAATTGATAAAAATCCTATAAACGACCAACAGGCTGAGATTTTGAGGTTGGCAGCACGATATCGAACCATACCTAGTATTCCTTTGTCCCGTCGAGTCCTGGGAAGATTCCTCACTACTCCCAGAATTGTAATGCAAGATATCAAACGGATGAACATCAACAAAGCACCAGGACTCGACGGTGTCGATGTGATTTTGCTGAAAAACATGCCTCGTAAGACGGTCGTTCAATTGCACTATATAATTAATTCTATTATTAGGCACCAGTACTACCCAGAGTCTCTCAAGACTGGAGTTGTTGTACCTATATTGAAATCAAGGAAAGATCCCAAGCAACCAGGTAGTTACCGCCCTATCTCTTTGCTCAGCATGGTGGCCAGAGTGATAGATAAGACAATTCTTCGTATGGTTGACACTCTTGCAGAAGACCTGAGTGTGATCCCTCCTGAACAATTCGGGTTCCGAAAGGGACATAGCACAACGTCTCAAGTAGCCCGAATAGTCCACGGGATCAAAGAAGCCTTCAGCCGAGATGAGAACACAGTTATGGTCCTGATGGATATTGAAAAAGCATTTGACACCGTTTGGCATGAGGGGCTGATATGCAAGCTGGCGTCTGCAGGGATGCCCATGTTCATTGTTAAATTGATAGATTCGTATTTATCCCGTCGAACAATAAGAGTCAAACTCAATAATTCATCATCGCGAGAATTCCCACTCGAGGCAGGGGTTCCACAGGGGTCGTGCGTTTCACCTCTGCTGTACTCATTATATACGTACGACCTTCCTGTGTCCGAAAGTACGAGTACCGCATTGTACGCAGATGATACTGCTATCTATGCACACTCGTACTTCTCGGACGTCGCCAGGGCACAGATCCAGCACCACCTGGACAGAAGGGTCGTACCGTACTTTGACAATGCAAAGATCCGGATAAATCATGCGAAAACTGAGATAATCAACTTTTCAAGGAAATATACCAACAATACGCTTTTCCGACCTTTGCGTGTCAAAGACACTGAGGTGGAGGGCAAAGCTGTTGTGAAATACCTGGGAGTAGCTCTGGACAGGCGTATGAACTTTTTCGCAAATACAGATTACTTATTGGCAAAGGCCAATGCTGCAATCAGGAGCTTGTATCCGCTGTTAGCGAGGAATTCCTCGCTGACTATGGACAACAAGCTCCTGATATACAAACAGATCATACGTCCTACTCTAACATACGCCTGTCCGGTGTTCTGTAGTATTTCGCCTACCCATATGGGTAAGTTACAAATACTACAGAATAAGGTACTTCGTATAATTACAAACGGTAATAGGTACTCTCGAGTGGCAGATATGCATGCACAGTGCTATGATCTGCCCCTAATAAAGGACTATATCCTTAAATTATCGGATAAATTCTACTCGTACCACATACGAAACAGCTCCCTAACAGATGGTATTACGTCAATTAGGGCAGATCATGGCCAACGCAGAAAGCACGGGCTGATTTACGAAGCTTGTAGTATTTTCAGAGAACCCCTGGAATAACCACCCACCTTCCCAATCCATCCCAACAGATTGAAAGCACTCCCTCACAAACAAATTTCACGACTCGAAGGTGGTTTGGTCGGCCCCAGGACTGAACGCTCTGGTCCGACTGTACGACCTCCGAGTGTCTACACATATTGCCCGTAGCTGGGCATAGTAAGCGCATTCCTGTTGGCACCGACCAACAGATATACATCTAGATTCAATCTGCATAATCTATGTGCTAAATCTCAGTCTGTTGATCCCTTTTTATCCCACAAAACCCATCCTAACCCTCACCCTTCCCTACTCCCCTCGACATAAATACAAATCGAATTGTCAAAATGTGGTATTTGGTTTTTCTTTAATTTTCCACAAACAAATTAACGACAAATTATAGAGTTCATGCTAGCGCAATCCAAACATTCGAATTTTCGCTCGCACTGAGCAGCTCGCCCTATCAGCTATGGAAAGGACCATGTCCTAGGACGTAGCTCGGACATCTTCCTCAACACACTTGATTAATAAAATCCGCCCCCCACTGCGCCACTCGTGGCCAACCTCTGGGAACCGATAGAGGTCTACCCGGAGGGCTTTTAATATGTATAGTTATTTGTATCGTTTTGTGCGTTCCATATATTTTATACATGTTAAATATTAAGGATTTTATTTATATTGAGTGTATGTCTGTAAAAGTTAAATATTCAAATAAATGGTTTTAAATGGTCGTACTCACCTGCGAGGACTAGGTCATCTAGTGAGTCCTCAGATAGATACCAGGAAAACTAGAACTAGCCAGCGTATCGGGGCGCATGCTGGCTAGCAATAACGAAGCCCCCAGGGTCATAAACATCAAAAGGATAAGAAGAACAACTGATAGCCTGACCATCAAAGGAAAAATCAACCAAATGGATGTAACCTGCACCATAGACACCGGTGCATCAGTTTCCCTGGTACGCAGTGACATTCTCCGGCCTGGAAGTATAAAACCAACCACTTCCAACTTTGTTCTTCGTACGGTCACTGGAGAAAATGCACCTATACGAGGGATGGCTGATGTCGAGTTGACGCTTGGAAGACTCCATTTAGTGAACATGGTATACGTCGCAGATATCGAAGATGAGTTTATCCTCGGCATGGATCTGATAAGCGACTACGGGTTTTCATTCGACAGTGATCAGAAGACCATGAAATTTGGAGGAGAAGAGTTTGTACTAACGACACCGGCCGAGAGGGAGACGTCTGTGAGGCTACGACTAGCGAAGACTGTGAGAATTCCTGGATTCACTGAAAAGATCATCCATGCGCGATTAGAGAAGGACCCTGGGTGCTGCGTTGGATTAGTACAGTCATGTGAGGAATTCCCCAGCAAGCTGTTACTTGCCCGAGCTTTAGTGACCACCGAACGAGACATTCCTGTGAGGGTAGCAAATGTGTTACCTACCACCATAACAGTAAGGGAAGGATACATCATCGGAGCTTGTGAACCAGTCAGTTGGGTAGCAAAATGTGATGAGACTAACGAGCAGAGATGGAGGGAACGAGATGACAGTGCATTGAGAGTTCTGGAAACCTCCTTGGACCACTTAACACCAACGGAATATAAAGCTGCCAAGAAATTCATAGCAGACGAAAGTGATATCTTTGA